CGACTGCCCTAGCCCTGCCCCACAAGCGACCTGCACGAGAGCACCCAATTCCTCACGCACTTTCCTAGCTGCTCCTGCGCTGCTGCCACTGTCTGCCACTGACTGCCATGGCCACTACTACTGTCCTACGTCAGCGGCAGCCGAGTGTGCAGGAGTCTCTCTCGCCGCAGCAGCTTTGCGAGTGGGCTATCTGGTGGGGCAGTCCCGGTGGCGAAGCTAGCCGTGCTCGTCAGCAGAAGCCGCTTTTGCCACAGCAGCGTCGTGAGTGGGCTGTCCGGTGGGGTGCTACTACTGGAGGTACCTGTGAGTCTACTCCTGCTGGTAGTGCCGCTAGAAGATGCGGAGGTTCTGGGGGTGGACATCAGCAGCACCAGCGTCTGCTGGAGAATCTCTCCCCGCAGCAGCTTCGTGAGTGGGCTGTCCGGTGGGGCAGCCCCGGTGGCGGAGGGTTTCAGGGTACTCGTACTGGGGGTGTAGAGGCACCTGGTGGCGTAGAGCCTACTAGTCTCCGTGCGTGTGACTCAGCTAGCGCAGAGGCAGAGCCTGAGGAGGCCTTGCACACTTTTACTCTCGACTCAGGCGCGTCTCGTTGCTTCTTCCGCGACAGCACCACAGTCACACCGCTCACAGTTCCTGTCCCTGTCACACTGGCCGACCCCTCTGGGGGCCCGGTAGTCGCGCGTGGCGCCACTGTTCTCCCTTGTCTGGCGGCCCCTTTCGGCCTCCTCACAGGTCTCCACCTCCCCTCGTTCGCTAAGAACTTGGTGGCTACCTCTGTCCTCCAGGACCAGTAGGTCACTGTCACCCAGCCTGGAGGCGAGCTCGTGGCGATCTGTACGGACTCGCGCACTGGTGAGCACCTCGCCACGTTCACTCGGAGGCCTAGGTCTGGCCTGTATACACCGACCACTGAGTCTGCACTGGTAGCTGAGTCAGGTCAGGTAGCTGCGTCAGTTGAGGTCGCTTCGTCTTGTTCGTGTCGTCTCCTCACGCACCAGACTCTATTCTGGCACCACCGTCTTGGCCACCCCTCCTTGCCACGCCTGCGTGGCATGCACTCCCGTCTCCTTGTGTCTGGTCTCCTCAGGTCCCTGCCCCCGCTCCCAAGGTCGCTTGCACCGCCGTGCCTTCCCTGCGTCGAGGGGCGGCAGCGCGCCGCTCCTCACTCCTCCTCGTTTCCTCCTACCACTGCTCCTCTGCAGACCCTGCACATGGACGTGTGGGGCCCCGCCCGCGTCACTGGACACGGTGGCGAGTGCTACTTTCTGCTGGTTGTCGACGACTACACGCGCTACACCACGGTCTTCCCCTTGTAGAGCAAGGCGGATGTCCGCGGTGTCTTGATCCGCTGGATCTGCGCTGTCCGTCTCCAGCATCGCGCTCGGTTCTAGTAGGACCTCCCTGTCCTGCGGCTGCACTCTGACCGAGGTGGTGAGTTTTTCTCCCACCTCCTTGAAGACTTATGTGGTGCTGAGGGCATCGTCTAGTCGTACACGCTTCTGGCCTCTCCTCAGCAGAATGAGATTGCCGAGCGCCGCATTGGTCTTGTCATGGAGGTTGCTCGCACCTCCATGATCCATGCGGCTGCTCCCCATTTTCTGTGGACGTTTGCGGTCCGATACGCCGCTGAGCAGCTCAACCTCTTGCCCCGTGTCTCCCACCTGGAGACCTCCCCCACTTTGCGGTGGACGGGCGAGGTTGGTGATGCGCCGGCGTTTCGGGTCTGGGGTTCCCTCTCTCTTGTCCGCGATTTGCCTGCGGGCAAGCTCTCTCCACGCACTCTTCGGTGCGTGTTCCTTGGCTTTCCCACCGACGCACCGCCCTGGCAGTTTTACCACCTGGGCTCTCGTCGTGTGTTGTCCTCCCGCGACGTCACCTTTGACGAGTCCGTCTGCTTCTACCATCTTCACCCCCACCGCAGTTCCCCGGTACCCCTCCCGCCTCTCTCCCTGGTGGACGACCCCCCCCCGGTAGCCCCCCTCCCTCCTCCCGGTCCCGCTCCATCAGGTGTGTCTCAGGTAGACCCACCCCCCTTGGTTGAGCCTTTGGAGGTCTCCTCAGACACCTCTGGCCCAGCTGAGGTGGGTGACCAGACTGCTACCGACATCGTGGCCCCTCGCCGCTCCGCGCTGGCAGTCCCTCCTGGCTTTCCGCCTCAACCGTCTTCACCGCCTCTGCGGCCCGTCGCTGTGGACTCTGGTGCTGCTGGAGGTGGTGACACTGGGGGGGCGGACTCTGGGGGTGCAGGCTCTGGGGGTGCTGCGAGTCCTACGGGTGCAGGGGATGCTGGAGGTGCTGTTGTTGGAGTTTCTGCGGGTGGAGGTGCTGGTGGTGCTGGTGTTGGTGGTGCTGGTGCACGTCGGCAGGAGACTCTCTCGCCGGAGCGGCTTTGCGAGTGGGCTGTCCATTGGGGCAGTCTTGGTGGTGGCGCTCGACGTGCTGGAGCTGCAGGTTCTGGAGGTGCTGGCCCTGGAGGTGCTAGTGCTGGTGTTCTTGGAGTTGGAAGTGCTGGAGGTACTAGTACAGGAGGCAGAGGTGCTACTGGAGTTACTGGAGGTGCTGGCCCTGTAGGTGCTAGTGCTGTTGTTCCACGAGTTGGGGGTACTGGCGGTGCTGACACTGGAGGTACTACTGGAGGTACTGGAGTTAGTGGCGCTAGTCGGCAGGAGTCGCTCTCGCCGCTGCAGCTTCGCGAGTGGGCTATCCGTTGGGGCAGTCCCGGTGGTGGACCTGGAGGTACTGGTTCTGGGGGTGCTGTTCCTACTGGAGCTGGAGGTTCTGGGGGTGCGACTACTCAGCCGCAGCCGTCTGCGCTTTGTCACCTTCTCAGTCTCCCGCCTGCTGCTACTGAGTTCCCGGTTGCTGGTACTACTCCTCCGTTACTGTTCCCACCGACTGACCAGTCTCAGCCACAGCTACTGCCTGGCTCCCCGCTGCCTGCTCCTGCTCCTCACACTGAGGTGACTGCGTCCCTGACTGCGCGTCGTGAGTCTGAGACGCGTGCTTCCACTCTTGAGCGTTGAGAGCCTGAGACTAGAGCTTCTGTCCCTGCTCGTGTTCGTCGTGTTCGTCGTCCTCGTGCTCTGGCTGTACCAGGCACTCACGATATGACACTCCGTCCTTCCTCTTATACCATGTTAAAGTACTAAGCACCTAGGAAACTAGGTTTAGGCTTAGGAGGCATAGCTTGGGTAGAAACGAGGGTAGACACGAGCGAGGTTTGGCCAAAGAGGAGTTCACTATAGCATGAGATACAAGATATAGTGAAAGCATAGCAAGGGTGCACCACCAACAATACGTAGGCAGTATGACTACACTACAATCTAACCACAAGCAATTATACAACAGAGATATAAAATATATCTTGACAGCGCACATGCGCTACTGTCCGGGGTAATACTGTACTAAGTATCCAAAAAAATGCCATGCATGAAAGGCATCATGATACGCAAAAGAATGGCTTGTCTCTAAACCTTTTATTTCTTTACCTAGTTTCTATAGAACACCGCAAGCGCGTACAAGTTGAATGTTTCAGATGCCGTTGACAAAATTAGATGTTGCAGTAGATGCCGTTGACGAAAATGTTGCAACAGATGCCATTGACGAAATTAGATGGTCCAGCACATGCCGTTTGTACTTACCATTTGAACGATCAGTCGTCGTCTTGCGGTTTGCGCCGGCGGCGGCATCTCGTCGTGTTGGGCGCCATTCGGTGCTATGCAACATGTCTTGCCTACGTAATAACGGCTTATCTTCAGTTGCGTGTCACCCGCCGAGTGGTTGAAGCGGCTTGTATTCGCCTACGTGTCACTTCGATGCGCAATGAACGAATCCGCGCACATTGTAGGCAGCTCTCGACCCCAAAAAAATAGACACCTCAAAATGCTACCGCAACAGCGAACTTTAATGTTTCCTACCCCAGTGATGCATGATACCAAGCTGCTTGAAGAGAGGTTCGGAGTCCGCAAACGTAGCTGATAGTGGTTTGGCTGGAAGGAAACCTAGCCGATGAGCTCTTGAGATCAGCATGGAGATCATCTCTCCTCTGCCGCCTGCTGCTCTGTAAGCCTGCTAGATTCTGAGTGGGCTGCCGCTGGGTCGCATCGAGACTCCCACTGGAGCTGCTGTTTACAATCTTGGTCGGATTAGAGGCTGTTTCGTCAGGTTGCTGGACAATCGTGCCACCAATCTCAAGCATGGCCTTCACGGCCCCAACTTTCCGCCCGTTAGGCAGCGAAACCAGTCAAACCCTAGGCCGCCTAGGCAGGTTCCCTTTACTCGACTCAGTTTCATTTCTAGGTAAGTTGCTGCTTTTCATTTTTCTTTTTCTAACGCATTGCGTTTCGTCTCCCCTACACCTCAGTTCTTCCCTTCCAAAGCAAGACTTCAACCCCCTCTCAGCCCCCTTCTCATCACTCTCAATCGCTGAAGTTCTCCCTGCTCAACGTTCCCCACCTCTCGTTTTCAACACCCCAGGACAACATTCCCGCTAGGTAAGTTTTCCCGATCCTGCAGAAACTCGCCATAAATCCCTGCACAATCCCTCACGTTATCCTGCCAACGCACCCTTGCCACGCCATCCGATTTTCCACGTTAACTCCCCCTCTCCACCCTTCGTTCCCCCTTCTCCCAGGTCCCTTGTTTACGCAAGTTCGAAGCCCACGCCAACTGATCGCCCTCCCCCAACCACCCCCCCCCCCCCTCCTTACAACAATCACGAAGGACGGCCTTATAAGCCCACACTACAGGTTGCTGGCTTTCTCTTCTCAGGCGGAATCTCTTCTTTCCCACGGACCGCCATTTTCGGTTCCTCGCCTATTTCTCCTCTCCGTACCGTGCCTCGGCCCTCGTGGCGCGTCCGATTTCAACTCCTTTCCCGCGTCCTGTCAGCTTGGCGCTGCCACCCCACGGCTCTCTCCCTGGCCACCTCCGAGTGAGCCACTAACATGGCTTGGAAGCTTGGCGCGCCGCCTAGGCCGCCAGTTTCACTTCGCGCTCGCATGCGTCTGGACCCTCGTAAGGTCCCGGGTTTCGGGAAGCCGACTAGGCTCCCAGCCCCGTTTCATGGCCTTAATTCCCTCGCCACGGCGCCGTAATTACCGTAACTTCTCTGCCCCCGCCGCTCTCCCCGTTCATCCCTTTCCTGCCCGCTCTCCGCACACCCCCCCATCCACGATGCTTCCTAGAATCCTTGCGCTCACGGCCCCTTGCTCGTCAGGAGCTCATGCTGTCCATCACTCCCCCTGCCCCTTCTTCCCCTCTCGGGGCCTTGCTCTCCCACTCTATATATAACAGACCTATTTCCTTTTCTTGCATTCACTTCACAACTTATATCCACGCCTCTTCTTCTCATCTTGCACTATGGCAGAGCAGATCTACAACTCCGACCTGACCATGTCCGCTGCCGAAGAGGAGGCCCTCGTTGCATCCGGGGAAGACCTCCTGGTGGACGATCTGTCCGAAGGCCTGATCGACCACCTCGCCGACTCGGCTGAGCTCCCCGTCGCCAAAAAACCGTGCTTTGACGCCGGCGCTAGCCACACCCCCTCCTCCCCCTCCACCAACATCACCGCCTCCCCCGAATCGGCCCAGGCGCATCAGTCACGCTCGCCCGCACCCCCCGCTGCTGCCGCTTCTGGCGTGTCTCCGAGTGGCCCGTCGCCCTCGCAGACAGCCACCACAAACGCCCCCAACGCCCCGGCAGGCTGCGCTGCTGCCTATGCATCCGTCGCCTCGGGCTCAAACCCGTCCCTTGGGCTGCCCGCCTCACCCATCGCCTCGCCCTTCCCGGGTACCCCCCCCCCCCCCCCCCCCCCGCAACCTTCGCCGCGCGCGTCTGACTGCCGTTTCGCCCTTGCTGCTCCCTCAGCGCCGCCGCGTGGTTGTTTCCCTCCTCATCCCTGAAGCCGACCTAGAAGCGCACCGCACTGCGATATTTGCCGGCATCAACGCGATGCTGTGCGGCTTCATGTTCGAAGCTGGCACCATCCCGCCTTTCGAACAGACCGTAGGTGACCCCCTCCGCATGGCCCGCCACGTTTACAGCCGTTTACGGCCGCTGCCCGCCGCCGCACGCCTTGCCTTGCCCGCGCGCTGTCCGCCGCTGTGCCGCCTAGCCCGCGCACCGCTCGCCGCCAAGCCGCCGCCCTGCCCGCGCATTGCTCACCGCCGCGCCGCCCTGCCCTGCTGGCTGCCGCCCTGCTTTGCCCTTCCTGCGTGCTGCTCTGCTGCTAGCGCGCCCGACTGCTCTGCTCGCTATGGCCACGCTCATTGTCCTCACTTTCGATCCGGAGGGCCGCCCGATAGAGTTCGATGCGTGGCTCGACGACTTACAGCTGTACTTACTGAGCGATTCCAAGGACAGAGTTTCACTGTTTGACCTCACGTCTAGCGCCTCTCTCGCCTCTGCCGCCACAGCTGACAGTGCGACTCGCTCACAGTGGCTTACCCGTGACGCTGCTGCTCGCCTAGCCGTTCGCAACCACCTGCCGTTAGCCGAACGAGCTCACTTTGGCCAGCACAAGACAGCTAGAGCCCTATACGACGATGTAGTTGCTCGTTACTCCTCCCTGGCCACTGCTGCTCTAGGCTGCCTTCTCCTGCCCTACCTGTTCCCAGAGCTGTCCGCCTTTGCCACAGTAGCCGACCTCGTCACTCACCTTCGCACTGGTGACACTCGCTACCGCGCTGCGCTTCTCGTCGAGTTTCTCACCAAGAACCCTCCTCCCATGTACATCACTCTCTACTTCATAGTCACTCGCCTCCCTGGCTCCCTTAGCGCTGTCAGGGACCTCCTTCTAGCCCTTGATCCCACCGACCTCACTGTCGACCTGCTCGAGAAGCACCTCCTAGCAGATGAGACTAGCATAGTCGGTGTAGGTGCTTCTCGTGGCACTCCTCGCAGTCCCTTCTTTGAGGGGTGATCGCCCTCCCCCCTGGTCCCCTCTGTTGCCTCTGGTGCAGCTGTTGACTAACTTCGTGCTGAGGAGGTAGGAGCTGCGTCTGCCCCTAGTGGGAGGCGCCGCAGCGGCATGGGCAGGGGAGGCAGGGGCGGTGGGGGTGACAGCGGTGGAGGCGCTGGTGGGGGTGGTGGAGGCGGTGGAGGTGGCGGTGGTGGCGGAGGGAGTGGTGGTGGGAGTGGAGGCGTAGGTGGAGGCGGTGGTGGCGGCAGTGGGAGTGGTGGCGGCGGCAGTGGTGGCGGCAGTGGGAGTGGGGGAGGCGGCACTGGTGGCGGCCGAGGTGGTACCAGTCAGAGGGGAGGCATTGGCGGTGGTCAGAGACAGCACCAGCAGAGTCAGCGTCAGCGTGGGACCCCTTCGCCCCAGGAGCTTCGTGAGTGGTTTGCTCAGCGTGGGGCGTCTGGGGGTAATGGTCGCTGCCCGTATGTCATTCGCACAGGTGACCGCTCTGGTCAGACAAGCGGGAAGTTTCACACCCAGCACCACCGCTTCTCCCGTCTTGACGACGCCTTTCGCGCAGAGTTTCCCGACGCGACTGAGCTCCCCTGCTGGGCAGAGCTGCTTAGGCAGGGGGTGGATATCTTCGCTCTTGATTATGATGCTATCCTTGCTGCCATGTATGCTTTGACTGTTAGTTCTGAGGGTGACTGTTACCTATGTATGCCGCCCGACCCAGGTATAGAGACTCCTCCTCTAGGTGCTGGTGAGGCTCCTGCCCTAGGTGCTAGTGAGTCTGCTCTCTCTGGTACTGCGCCTGCTGAGGCCTTGCACAGCTTCACGCTTGACTCAGGTGCTTCCCGCTGTTTCTTTCGCGACAGTACCGCACTCACACCGCTCCCTGCACCTGTTGCTGTCTCTCTGGCTGACCCCTCTGGGGGCCCAGTCCTTGCACGTTCTTCCACTGTTCTCCCGTGTCCGGCGGTTCCATCTGGCTCACTGTCAGGTCTTCACCTCCCCTCGTTCTCTACGAACTTGGTGAGCAACGCCGTCCTTCAGGATGTATGGGTTGACACCTTTACTCCAGGAGGACAGCGTGTGGCGATCTGTACGTGCTCCCGGACTGGCCGGCACCTGGCCACATTCACCCGTGCGCCTGGCTCGAATCTGTATACACTGACTACTGTGTCTCTTCTGGTAGCTGCGTCTGCGTCTGCGTCAGGTCAGCTAGCGGCCCCCTGCTCGTGTCGTGCTCTGTCGCACCAGACCCTCCTTTGGCACCACCGTCTTGGTCACCCCTCAGTGCAGCGCCTCCGCGGCATGCACTCTCGTCTCCTTGTCTCTGGTCTTCCCAGGACTCTGCCTCCCCTCCCACCCTCGCCTGCCCCTCCCTGCCTTCCCTGTGTTGAGGGGCGGCAGCGCGCCGCTCCTCACTCCTCGTTTCCCCTGACGACTGCTCCCCTGCAGACTCTCCACATGGACGTGTGGGGCCCAGCCCGCGTCCGTGGACAGGGCCGCGAGCGCTACTTTCTGCTGGTCGTTGACAACTACTCGCGTTACACCACGGTCTTCCCCTTGCGCAGCAAGGGGGAGGTCCTTGATGTTTTAATGCCTTGGATCCGCGCTCTCCGTCTCCAACTCCGCGAGTGGTTTCATACGGACCTTCCACTCCTTCGTCTGCACTCTCACAGAGATGGTGGGTTTTCCTCCGACCTCTTGTGGGATTTTTGTCGTGGGGAGGGCATTCTCCAGTCGTTCACGCTTCCGGACTCTCCGCAGCAAGATGGGGTTGCTGAGCGCCGCATTGGCTTAGTCATGGAGGTCGCTCGTACCTCCATGATCCATGCGGCTGCCCCCCATTTTCTGTGGCCGTTTGCAGTCAGGTACGCTGCGCATCAGCTCAACCTCTGGCCCCGTGTCTCCTTGCCGGATACCCCGCCTACACTGCGTTGGACAGGGAAGGTTGGCGATGCGTCGGTGTTCCAAGTCTGGGGTTCTCGTGCCTTTGTCCGCGATACGTCCGCGGACAAGCTCTCTGCCCGCGCCATTCCCTGCGTCTTCCTTGGCTTTCCCCCTGACACGCCTGGCTGGCAGTTTTACCACCCCACCTCGCGCCGTGTCCTGCCCTCTCAGGACGCCACGTTTGACGAGTCGGTTCCCTTTTACTGTCTCTTCCCCTACCGCACTGCCCCTCTCCCCCCCCCGTCGCTCTTCCTCGCACCAGGTCCTCCTCCGGTAGACCCCCTCCCCCCTCAGGGTCCTGCTCCCTCAGGTGTGTCTCAGGTAGACCCTGTCGAGACTGTCGAGGTCGCGGTCGACTCTGGTGCTGCTGGGGGTGCTGAGCCGGAGCGTGCGGAGCCTGGGGGTGCTGAGCCTGAGCGTGCGGAGCCTGGGGGTGCTGAGCCTGAGCGTGCTGAGCCTGGGGGTGCTGAGCCTGAGCGTGCGGAGCCTGGGGGTGCTGAGCCTGAGGTTGCTAAGTCTGAGGGTGCTGAGCCTGGGGGTGCTGAGCCTGCGGTTGCTGAGACTGGGGGTACTGAGCCTGGAGGTGCTGAGTCTGCTGGAGGTCCTACAGGTGCCTCGTCACGGCGGGAGCCTCTCTCTCCACCGCAGCTGCGCGAGTGGTTTGCTCGGCGCTGGAGCCTTCAGAGCGGCGCTGCTGGAGCTGGGGGGGCTGCCGCTGGAGGCCCTAGAGCTGGAGGTACTGGAGCTGCTGGAGCTGGAGGTGCTGTCGGCGTTGGAGCCAGAGGTGCTGGAGCTGCTGGTCCTGGAGGTGCTGGAGGTGCTAGAGTCGCTGGTCCCGGAGGTGATCGTACTGGAGGTACTGGAGCTGCTAGAGCTGGTGGTGCTTCAGGAGTTGGAGCCGGAGGTGCTGGAGCTGCTGGTCTTGGAGGTGCTCGTACTGGAGGTTCTGGAGCTGCTGGAGCTGGAGGTGCTACTGGAGTTGGAGCTGCTGGAGGAGCTGGAGCAGGTGGTACTGTAGGCGTTGGAGCAGGAGACCCTGGAGCTGGGGGTACTGGTGTTATCGGTGCTGGTTCTGGAGGCACTGTGCGGCAGCGACCGTACTTCGTTCCACTGCTTCAGCAGGTTCTTGGTCTCCTGCCTTCTGCTGACCCTACTCCTCCCTTACTGTGTCCACCGCCTGACCAGTCGCAGTCGCAGTTACAGCCAGCCTCCTCACTGCCTGGTCCTTCTTCTTACACTGGGCCAACAGGAGGACTTGCGGAGCGTCGTGAGCCTGAGTCTCGTCCTGCGACGCCTGTTTGCGCTGTTCGCACTGGTCGTCGTGTTCCACGTCCGCGTTCTCCTCTTGTCGCAGGCACGCACCAGATGGCACTTCGTCCTTCCTCTATTCCACAGCGTGTCCCTCTGCCGTCTCCTCCTACATCCTCTCTTCCTGACGTTCCTGACCCGCCGTCAGACCTTGCTCGTGCTGCCAGTCCTACTGTCACACGACTTCTAGCCACTGTTGTCACTGACCCTTCGTTTGAGTCCACTACTGCGTCTGCTTTAGTTGCTGAGCTTGTTGACTTTGCTGCCGCCTGTCGCCTCGACTACGCCGCTAGTTTTGTTGCTGAGTCTGAGTCTGTGTGTCCTCCGTCCGTCGGGGGTGAGTGTGCTCTTGGCACGGACGTCCTTGAGGACAGACAGGAGGACTTTGAGTGTTTTGCAGCTGCTGTACCTCATCTCGTGTCCGTGCTGATTGCACCTGAGGGAGACCCGGATGCACAAGACATCCCGACCCCACGCTCTTACACAGAGGCGATTGAGGGTCCCTACTCCTCTTAGTGGCTGACAGCCATGGACGCGGAGATGGCTTCCTGGAAGTCCACAGGCACCTACGTCGACGAGGTTCCCCCTCCTGGGGCGAACATCGTCAGTGGCATGTGGATTTTCAGGGTGAAGCGGCCGCCAGGTTCTCCGCCTGTCTTTAAGGCTCGTTACGTTGCTCGAGGTTTCAGTCAGCGAGAGGGAGTTGACTTCTTCCGGACCTTCTCCCCCACCCCGAAG